ATGGCAGAGAAGAGGGATAAGGAACAAAAAGGGGGGGGGATAGAGAGAGAGGTAGTAAAGGAGACGCCCCGGATGCACTTCATGTTGGCTTGATGAAGAGAATAATAGAAACCGTAGAAGAAGAAGAGAAAGAAGGATAGGATAGACGGAGATAGATTACTCTTCGTCAGAGTCCTCTTCGTCGTCGTCTTCTTCCTCCTCGGCAGCCTTCTTGGCCGGCTTCTTCTTCTTCTTCTTGTTCTTCTTGCCCTTGGATCCCGTGGACTTAGCCAGGGGACGCTCCAGGATGGCCAGCACTTCCTCGTCAGTGATCTTCTTGTCTGACTGGACCTTCTCCAGGTCAAGTGGTGGTGGAGCAGCCAGTCTGCTCAGTCCATTTTTCGAAATGACTACCCTTGTTAGTTTATAGACATAGATAGATATAGATATAGATATAAGATGTAACATACCAACTGTAGTCAAGAGCCTGGAAACGGGAGAGCCGTCTGCCTCTCCGGCCGGCTCGTACTGACGCACCACGCCACCTCGTACGCACTCGACGACACCGACTTTGCCGGCACGCTCGTCATCCAGCTGGCGCAAGCTGAACGGGAAGGTTCCAAACTTCTTGACAATCTCAGACAGTGTCTGTCGGGAGCTGGGTCTCTTGAGGATGTATGTGGTGGTGGTACGACGGTGCAGGGTTGGTCTATGCTCGAGGGTCTTGACTTTGCCGGATCCCAAGCTGAGTCCGACCTCGACGCCCCAGACCTCCTGGACCTCGGGGCTGCCTTCACCCTTGACACCGGTGCCGGGTGCTACGATGATCTTCTTGGTTCCCTCGATCTCGTTGCGGTCAAACAGCCAGCTGGTGGTGTTTTCGACGACGGTACAGTCGTATGACTTGGCCACTTTCTCGATTAAGCTGGATATCTTAGCCTGAGATGGAGGCTTCTCGGCGGCAGCCTTCTTCTTCTCTTCCTCTGTGCCCTGAGCAGCGAGTCCGGGGGGCACCATGAGCCTGAGCAGCAGTTCGTTGGCGTAGTGGGTGGCCAGCAACAGGTCAGCCTCGCGGCCGGTGACATTGCCTCCCACGACGATGGTGTCGCAGACGATGGTGCCGAAGCCATCGATCTGAGCACCCAGCTGGATCTTGACGACCTCGTTGGCCTTGAGCTCGGTGGCAGCCTCTTCCGCATCTGAGGTGAGCGGAGTGTATGGCGTCACATAGGAGCTGGGAGACACCGTCGTCGGATGAGATATGCCTTACATCAATCAGCTTCTCTCTTTCGACTTCTTTAACTGGAATCCAGGGTATAAGTATAGGTGAAGTACCTTTGGACACCTTCTTGCCCTTGTAGACCTTGGCCACCTCTTCGTCCAGCAGCTTGTCGCCCTTCTCGCAGAGCTCGACGATCTTTGCTCCCTCAACGCACCATCCTGTCAACTCAGCCGTCAACATCTACTGCCATCACTCGGCTATGCAGTTACGCCGTGGGAACCCACCTGAGACAGCCTCGAGCACTTTGTGGGAGATCTGGGCGGCGGTCTTGTACTTGGTCAGGGTATCGGGGTTGTTGAGCGTGTAGTCTGTCTCACAGCATCAGCACCACCACCACTATCAATACATCATAGCCAAATAGCATATCGAACAGCACAACTATACAAGCAGCAGCAGGTAGCAGCAGGTAGCAAGCAGGAGTAAGCAAGAGCAAGCATCTTCTACTCCGTCCCGTCCTGTCTGTCTCCATGCTGCCGCCTCTAACTTACCGATCTCAGTAGTAGTTTCAGCCATGGCGACTCAAGCAACGGCAACAACGACAAGACTCCAGCGAGTTGGTTAGTTTATCTAGCTGAGAAAGCAGTCGAGAAGTCGATCGCAGGAGAAGGTCAAGCAGCTCTTCTCTGTCTTCGTCTTCTTCTGTTTACTTCTGCTTCTTCTACTTCGGTCTTTTGGAGGGGAAAAAGCCACAAACAAAAGGTGGGATAATTTTACTTCACGCTGTTTGTTGTGGGCTTTTTTTGCCTTTTTGTCCCTCTTTTTCCTGCTCTGGCGCTGCTCGTTGCTTTTTTGGCCCATGACGTCGATGCAGAGTGACTTCTCACTGCACCAGATTTAGGTGAGCAGCGAAGTCACTCTGCATAGCTGCTATGCTCGACCACTAACCGCCAACAGCTTCCAGCTGCTCCGACCAACTTCCACTTATCAACTTCGACTTCCGCGTCTTTGCTTCTTCTTCTGCTGCCTCTGCTACTTCTTCGTCCCACGTCGACTCGACCAGGACCGGGATCAAATACCCAAACGGCGAGCAACTGCTTATACTAAGCCTGAGGAAGGCTTTACGAGCCAACCAGTGTTGCACATGGAGCCAGCATGACCCGCATTCTCGAAGGTGAAGCCGCAGATGGAGACGGCAGGACGAGGATAAAGAGAGACGACGAGGACGCAGAAGTCGAAGTCGCGGACGCAGGAAAAGGTGCGCATCTTCTTCTTCTCCTTCTTCTTCTCCATCCTCTTTATCTTCGTCCTTCTCTTCATCTTCTACTTCTACTTCTACTAAGATGAAGCTAGGCAGCTTGCTCTTCCGCATCCTCACGCATAACATCCGCTATGCAACAACGTCTCCCTCAACGGGCGAGCAGCCATGGAGCGTTAGGGCGCCTCACATCGTCAACGAGCTCGACTACCACAGCCGCCTGAACCCCGAGAGCTTCGTCTGTCTCCAGGAGGCCCTGCACAACCAGGTCACCGACGTCCTCGCCGGGCTCAACTCCCGCCCACACGCCTCCTCCCAGGGAGATGACGGCAAATGGGCCTTCTACGGCGTGGGCAGAAACGACGGCAAGCAGGCTGGAGAGTACTCGCCCATCTTCTACCGCCCGGCCGTCTGGAAGCTGCAGGAGAAGGAGACCGTCTGGCTGTCCGAGACGCCCTCCGTGCCCTCCAAGGGCTGGGACGCTGCCTCCATCCGCATCGTCACCATCGGCGTCTTCAACCACCTGGCTACCAATACCACCCTCCTCGCCATGAACACCCATCTCGACGACCAGGGCAGCAAGTCCCGCCACGAGTCGGCCAAGCTGATCCTCAGCCTCATTGGCAAGTACCTTGCTCGTCACCCTGAGATCAAGGGCAACTTCCTGGCAGGCGACTTCAACAGCGACGAGGGCCAGGAGGCCTACCGCGAGTTCACCAAGCCGGGCTCCAGCATCGTCGACACCTACAAGCGAGTCCCTGCCAGCCAGCGCTACGGAGACGAGATCACCTTCACCGGCTTCGACGGGAAGACACAGGGCAGCCGCATCGACTATGTCATGGTCGGTCCCCAGTCTTCTTCCTCTGCTATTCCTTTCACTGTCAACGGATACGCCGTCATGCCCAACAGGTTCGAGAACCGCATCTACAACTCCGACCACCGTGCTGTCGTCGCCGACGTCACTCTCTAGTCCTGTATATCTTCAGTCTATAGCCTAGCCATAGCCTAGTAGTAAATAGTGTCTTTCTATACATAATTTATTGTTTTTTCTCCACGTCTTCTACTTCTTCTGCTGCTTCTCTTTTTATCCTCAGCTTAGAGTCTCTTAGTCATCTGCTAGTCACCCGCTTAGTCACGTCTTACTCATCAAGACGCCAAAAGGCGAAAAAGACGAAAAGACGAAGAAACGAAACGACGAAACGAAGCTGAAGCCGACGATGTTCTTCATCTTTCGCATCGCATTCTCGGTCGTTCTCTTCGCTGACGGGCAGGTCAATTCCTGACTGCTAGTTACTCGCCTCTCGCCTCTTGACAGCCCGGCGTTGGGCTGCTGCTCCGCTCTGGCGCCTTCCCTCTCCCCGACCGCGTCGGACACTGAAAAGTAGTTGTCTCGCCCTGCTGCTGCTACCAGGTACCAGCTACCTACCTCCTTTGCAAGTCGCATTCACTGCGCGATCCCGGTATGCCCTGCTTCATGTAGCCTGTACCCTTTGACCGTCTTGCTTCCACCGGAGCCTCGTGTTGGCGGTGTTTTGGACGCGGCAACTGACGACCTTGCTCGAACCTCTTTGTTATGTATAGACTAAGCTGAAAGCCATCAATCGAACACCAGCAAAGCATTGCAACATTCGACCCCCATCAGCCATGCCGTGGCCGGAAGCCGAGGATGGCATGGGCCAGCCGGACGGTGCGCTACAGGGCTCGCATTCACTTTCACACTCTCCTCAGCCTGTAGCTCCCGCCGCAGGTAGCAGTGAGCAGCCCACGGAGTCGCCACAGGACCAGCAGCAAGCTCCGGGCGGACACAACGGAGCAATACCCGCTGGTATCTTGGAAGGGAAACAGAATGCTAGAGCTATAATGGGCGCCTCAGAGCTTCCGGATGGACCTGTTCAGGCTGCCGAGGGGGGAGTGGGAGGAGGGGAAGTAGGAGGAGCAGGAGGAGCTGGGGCAGGAGGAAGTGCTCCTGGTGATGGAGGAGATGGAGATGGAGCCGCTAGACAAGGTGGCGCCAGCTCGTCTTCTCCGCAAGAGACTGCCATCACAAACGGAAACGGAGTCAGTCGGAAACGGTCTCGTTCCGGCTCTATCATACAATCTACGACTGCTGCGCCTGCTGCTGCTTCTTCGTCTTCTGCAGCGGTAGAGAATGACGGTCTGCCGCGCGAGACCCCCCTAGACAAGGTCCTTTTGGAAGACTACCTATACCGAGAATGGGGCCACTCCGCCCTTGCCGCTACAAGGAACACACACCAGGAAGTACTGCGCCAGAAGCTCCAGGAAAGAGACTACTATCTCGCCCTCAACCAGGAGAGGCAGGTCAATCCTGCTGCTGTCTTCGGGCCGGGCTACGAAGGGTACGGTAACACCAGGACAGATCTCAAGTCGCAACACCCACAACTTCTCTACCCGTCAAATCGGAGGCGGCCAGGTGGGCGCAAGGCCAAAGAATTGCGCATCCCGCGAGAGGACATGCTCACCCAGTCAGACCAAGATGAACATCTCGTTCCTATCAGACTGGACATAGATTGGGAAAAGGTCAAAGTCCGGGATACCTTTACATGGAACCTCCACGATCGCGTCACCCCTGTCGATGTCTTTGCTGAGAAGCTGGTCGAAGACCTCGGACTTCCGTTGGAGTCTTGTGGCCCGCTCGTACGGCAGATCACCCAGAGCATCCATGAACAGCTGGCAGACTTCTACCCTCAGATCTTTATCGAAGACGAACCTCTTGATCCACACTTGCCATACTCCGCCTACAAGAACGACGAGCTCCGAGTTCTGATAAAGCTAAATATCACCATCGGCCAACACACGCTTATCGACCAGTTCGAATGGGAACTAAATGACCCGCATAACTCGCCGGAAGGGTTTGCCATCCAGATGTCCCAGGATCTGTCCTTGTCAGGAGAGTTCACCACTGCAATCGCGCATTCTATCCGTGAGCAAGTCCAATTATTCACCAAGAGTCTCTACGTGGTCTCATATCCATTCGACGGCCGACCTATCGACGATCCAGACCTGAGAGATGCCTTCCAACCGTCCCCTATCCCATCTACTTTCCGCCCCTTTAACGTCGCCAAGGACTATACCCCTTACCTCTACGAACTCAACGAAGCTGAGCTTGACCGGACTGAAGGCTCCATCTCGCGTGAACAACGATGGCAGAAGCGAGTTAACAGACGAGGAGGACCTATCTTGCCTGAACTCAAGGATCGTCAACGGACCATTCGGACCATGATCGTTTCATCAGTCATACCAGGATGCGCCTCCTCCATAGAAGAAAGTCGACTCTTCAAACGATCAGGCACCAGTCGCCGTGGTAGAGCCTCCACCGGCCGCCGTGACGGCCTCGAAGACTCAGATTCCTCTGAGAGTGAAGAGTCTTCCATCGGATCTCCAGCTGTTTCTCGTCTTAACCAGGGAACTGCAAGGACAAGAGGCATGAGACAGGCATCTTCTATAGCCCAGTCAGCCATACGAGGACAAATGGGCCGCTCAGCAACGCCCGAGACCGTCGTATCCCACTCCCACGAAACAAGAACGTCAGCCAGGCGACAGAATTACAGAGAGGAAAGCTCAGAGGCGCCCGAGAGCCTTATTGTTAAACTGAAGATAAACCCGGATAAGCTACGACGCTGCATCCGAGACCTCAAGTCGGGATCACGGCAATACACGGCGTCTCCCGGTGGACCATCCACGACTCCCACAGGTAAATCAAGTGGTCGTGGATCCATGGGGCCTCCCCCATCGCAAGGCCAGCCTGGCTCTGCTACAAAGAAACCTATCAACCCTCCCCAGTTCCATGGTGTCATTGACGCACCCCATCCACTGCCTCCAGGAACTCAACCGGTAAGCACATCCTTACTATATTCTACCTTCCCCCATTCCAACCCCATGGCTTGCTAACTAACTCCCCCCAAAGCCCCCTCCTCCTCAATGGCTCATCCAAGGCCTTGTAGGTCTTAAAAGACAATACCCCAACGACTCATTTGAAGGAACAATGCGCTACACAGCCGTAGACCCAAACACAAACCTCCCCATCCCCAACGCAGCCCAAACACACCCCGGCCAGAAACTACCATACAAATACTTCCCCCGAATCCGCTGCAATGACTGCCCAGGAAAGCTCTACACACCTGGTCCAGCAATGACAGTCGAGAATTTCGAGGTCCATCTTAAAAATAGAAACCACAAGGAAGCCGTCGCAGCTCGTTTGGCAAGGGAGAAAGGTGGTGGTGCCGCGACACCTGTTCGACGCACACCCAAGCACAGTTCGGGAACTAAAGAAAGTAGCTTGCCGGCCTGGTACTAATACGCCCGCTGGGTAATGACTCGTCTGGCGCC